ACATATCTTCCTTTTTTCTGATCTCCAAAGACTGCTTCGTTGCAGAGAATTCAGACCTGTAGTGGCGCGTATTTTCCAAAGTATTATAAGGGTCCCATGAAATACTTAAAGCCTTGCCTATTTAGGGGCAAGAACTCAATGTACAAGTGACAACTGGAAATTGTGCAACCCACAGTAATGTGTACTTGCATACTTACATGTGTGTGGTTATGTTTAATTACAGTACTGTAAATGTTCCTGTAATATTCTGGTTTGCTTCTGAGTATTAAAAGGCTTTACTCAAGTTATTGGGTCCTACAATCAGCTTCAAGAAAATTAGGAACAGGGTCAGAACTATAAAGCTAGGGTCTGTTTTCTAGGAAATTGTAGAGTTTTTGTGTTTGTGTGGAAGATAGACATTGTTAACATTTAGAAATAAATACATATCAGAACAAGGGAGTTGATGAAGCAGCAGTAAAATGAGGAAAAGTCTATTTTTGTTTCTCGTTAAGTTTACCTTCCTAGTATTTTTTTTACCATTTTCTGTTGTTAGCTGTCAAACCAATAAAACCTATCCGTGCAGAATCTTCTGGATTATTTTTGTTTATCCATTAGAAGAAAATAGTTGCAAATGTATAAACCTAAACTAGTTTTTAGACTGTAATTTTTCAGAATTAGCGTATTTGATTTTTTAAAATTTGGATTTCTTTAAATGTTTAGCATCGCATTGAGGGTGTTTCACTTTTGGCACTATTAGTTTTGTTATCAATTAGGTTTGTTCCCCCACCCCCCACCTTTTTAAATACAACTTTTCCTAGATACCCAGTTATTTTTCCATTGGCAATAGATGGTACATGTCCCTAGCACTGTATTCAGCTTAAAAATTCTTTGATAGCACAAACTTCTTTCTCTTTCTTAATTCTCCAGCTTGTATAGAAACAGGACATGCAGTCCTGCTATGAAGAGTGCTGAACTTGTTGACATCAATATGCTTGCACAAGGTAGAAACTAATTCACAGAATAATAAGCCACAGAAGTTAGGATTTATTTAATTATCTGATAAAATGGGAAGAATTCTGCATGAAGAGGTCTTTTTCCAGATTAAACTGTGAACTGCAAATGGAGTTGGAGATTTGGTCAGGATCAATGGTGTCCTCAATGCTGAGAAATACAGGCAGATACTTATCCATCATGCCATACCATCGATTTATTTAATTATCTGATAAAATGGGAAGAATTCTGCATGAAGAGGTCTTTTTCCAGATTAAACTGTGAACTGCAAATGGAGTTGGAGATTTGGTCAGGATCAATGGTGTCCTCAATGCTGAGAAATACAGGCAGATACTTATCCATCATGCCATACCATCTGGGAGGCATGTGATTGGCCCCAAATTTATTCTGCAGCAGGACAATGACCCCAAACATACAGCCAATGTCATTAAGAACTATCTTCAGCGTAAAGAAGAATAAGGAGTCCTGGAAGTGATGATTTGGCCCCCATAGAGCCCTGATCTCAACATCAAGTCTGTCTGGGATTACATGAAGAGACAGAAGGATTTGAGGCAGCCTACAGATCCACAGAAGATCTGTGGTTAGTTCTCCAAGATGTTTGGAACAACCTACCTGCCGAGTTCCTTCA